ATCATCTCTGCCTGCCTGTGCTGGAGCTGGATGCTTAACTCTATGTGAAAAAGACCGCGACGCAGCCCGAAACCACATGCCGTTTTTCTCACACCCCAAAGGGTCTGAAGTGATTTGAAATTTGACCCTCTTTGTGATCCCACACGAGTGACCGTCGAGGGGGATCTTGTACGTGGAGCCCCTTAGCCTGCAATGGTCGTGTAATGAAATAGTGGTGTAATGAATATAAAAGGGACCGCAATACAATCACCGTTATCCACTGACTATAGTCCTCGTTTAAGTAGATAGAATGTGGCTTTGGGCATATTAGAATAAAATCCCCATATAGCCCATATTCTATCTACTTAAGGGCGGCTGTAGTCCCTATTACTGCGTGGGGGTCCTCATCAGGGATCTTCCTCCTTGTCTGTTCCCCCATAGTAAAACTACATAGAGCCCCCCGTAAGTAGATAGAATATGGCGTATATGGGGGATCTTATTCTAATATACCCAAAGCCATGTTCTCTCTACTTAAAGGGACTCTATTCCCAGTTTCCATTGCATTTACATATTCCTTTCCATTTGATTTTCCATCACTGGGGGAACATCCCCCCAAACCCTACAGAATCCCATACATCCCTATATAATCCTATGTATCCCATATAACCCCCTAATCCCTAATATAGTTCTATACATCCCTATAAAATCCTATATGTATGTATATACATGTGTATACCTAAACCCTCAACCCTAAACCTAGACCCTAAACCCTAAACCCTAAACCGTTTCTGTGCAGGTGCAGGCCGGCCTCTTTGCGCATGAGACCTTCGCCTACTTCACGCTGCACATGGCCGGCCTGACATGGGTTTGTGTGGAGTTTGCTTACGGGGGGGTTAGTAGGGAATAAGGGAATATACTATATAGGGATTGTATTCCCTTAATTTTTCCCAGAAAAGGGGGTTTAGCAGGGAATAATGGAATACACTGTATAAATATATAGGGATTATATTCCCTTATTCCTTGCAGAAGTAAGCTTGTGTGAGAAAGTGGAAGGCAGCGGGGAGCTTGATGGTAAGGCTCGTAGGAGAAGCTTGGGAAAACACCTTGAAAGCAATGTCCCCTTCCCCTACCTGCCCCCCTCCCCCTAGCGAAGCAAAGAGCTCGCGAACTACAAGCCTCAATGATGCACATGTCAGGTCCATTTTTTCAGTGTTTCGCATCAGCTGTCCCTCTCCGAGCCCTTTCCAGACTTTGTGCAGAAGTGTGGAAAGATATTGGATACGTCGCTGCTAGGGCCTCAAGCTCTCAAGACTGCTTGCTGGTATGCTGTGAGTGAACTGAAAGTAAGCCACCACTGTAAGAAGCCATATCATTTTTTGGAGTATGCATAACCCTCAACCTTAAATTTGTTTCTTGCGCAAGTTAGTCGCTGTTAGCAGCAACCCTGCTGAGGGGCTGAGCTCGGAACAGGCACCTGATGATAGTAATAGTACCAGTACTAGCACTTGTAATAGCCATGAGTGTTTTTTGCATGCTGAGGTATCGGTCATACTACTCGGATGCGCTTATACACGGTCGCTTGGCTCCAGCTATGACGTGTGCACAGTCCAGAGTCGTACAGGAATGCATACCTGGCTTGCAGTTGCACTTGGCCCCTAAGCCCCAAACCCCACCTACTAGTTCTTATTACCGAAAAGGGGAATACAATCCTTATATAACCCTTGCATAATACATTTCCATATTCCTTACTAACTCTGAACCCTTAACCCCTTAACCGCTCAACCCTAGACCCCAAAACCCTAAATCCTCCCTTAACCCCTCAACCCTAAACCCCTTAATCCCAGTAACCCTCAGGTCCTAAGTAATTCGTTGCTTCGAGGTAAGGATGCCAGAGCAGGGCTCGTTTTTCCTGACTTGCTACCACTGCCTGATCTTGTCCCGGCATAGAGACATTCTTCAACCCTTATAGGGGTAATGTAGGGGTAATATAGTACTATGGAAGTAATGGAGGAATATTGGGGTAATGGAATAATGTAGGGGGAATATAGGGATTCTGTAGGCATAATGGAAAATAAAATGAAAATTCACATTATAGAGACATTCTTCAAGCTCACTGTGTTGCTTAGCTTCTGTACAGTGCCTTGAGCCAGCAGCTCGTTTCGAATTGTTTGATGATGGACAAAGTGCCGTCTAAAGTGCAAGTGCTGTGTGCAGCGAGCACTGCGAAAATGGCCGGCCGAGTTGATGATGCTCCATTCAGGGCTGCCCTAAACCCTAAACCCTAAACCCTGAACCCTAAACCCTAAACCCTAGACCCTTGACATAGGACCTGGAGCGCTCCCCCATCATGTTGCTTGTATCTGAATCCTCACAAAGATCCACGGCCAATCGGACATGCTGCAAATGTACGCTCCGCCGAGACCACCTGGGCCCAACACTAGAGTAGTGCTTTTTTGGTGGTTGAGCCCAGTAAGATTATCTCCCTTAAAAAAAAACTATACCCCAAAAGGAAGATATAATCTTACTCTATATGGGGTACCATAGTATCCCCAAATAAGATACTACTTACTATGAGCTACAATCACGCGGCGGATTTGGACAGTTTTGCTTGCGCGACAGCAGTGTCAACAACATCCAACGCATGTAGGCTGTGAAATCAGTTCGTTCAACACGCAGAAGCTTGTAGTTAGCACGAACCCGCGCTTGAGGAATTTCCAGACCCTAGACCCTAAACCCCACACCCCCCTGGACTTTAAAACGGACTTCCCAACACCCTGGACACTAGACCCCCCAAGCAGGGTCAGGGGAACGGAGCAAGCAGGTTAAACATGGGGCTCAATGGGGTTACTATATGGGTTCTAGGGGTTATCAACCTACTTACTAAGTCCCTCTGACCCTCCAACCCTAAACCTTGAAACCCTAAACCCTATAATATAATAGCTTCCCTTTTGTTCTCAGTTTTACTCACTGACTCTGCATAACCCTAAACCCCAAACCCTAAACTCCAAACCCCAAGCCGCAACCCCTAAACCCTAAACCCTCCAAGGGAGAACCGCAGGCCGTGTGCTTCACCGCGCGGAACCGCTTTGCGGTCCTGCAGCAGGGTGGATCCGTTGGTGACGGCCTTGGTGCGGTAGCTTTTAGGATTTAGGGTTATAGGGTTTTAGGGTTTAGGATCTAAAGTTTAGGGTAGGGCTTTTTCTAGGGATTACATAGATGAATCCCCCTGGTTCATGAATTTGATAGATTCCCCCCCCCCAGAATGGTATAATCTTCGGGTGTATTGATTATCAGAAGGGGGTGGGGAGTATTCTCAGGGGGAGGGCATGAGATAAGGCAGATTTTGAGAAACACCCTCCTAGGGAGTTCGGGGTGGTTGTGGGGATGGCACACGCTCACGCTACGCGATGTCATGATCGCTTCCATGAATGGATTTCTTTCTGCAGAAGCTGTGCCCTGGCCGGGCCGGACACTGTCGCTTAAGCCATGGCTTCCTTCTCATTTGAGCACCGCCACAAGAGATAATGTGAATCACACTAGAGCCCCTCTGTGTTTCTGTTGGTATCATAAAACTAGGAGTGGGAGTGGGGATAAGCTGAGGAATACTTCCTCTCTTGAATAGAAAGATAGGGATACTATAGCCCCTCATATAGGTACAATCATACAGACTTTCTTGATTGTAGGAAACGAATCCACAACCCTACCCAATCCCTGTAGATAAACCTTACACCAAAAAGTCCTAGGAGGGTTTAGGGTTTAGGAGTCCTAGGAATCTACAACCTCCAGAATGAGCTTTCGAAGAAGTTCGATCCGCCGGTGTCTGCGGATTACATCTTCCCAGGCCTCGGAGCCTGACACCAACTTGGGGATTTCTGAAAAGGGGCGGGTTTAGGGTTTAAGGGTTTAAGGGGGTTTAGGGTTCAGGGATTTAGGGTTTAGGGTGTAAGGGGTTTTAGGGTCTAGGGATTTAGGGCTTAGTGGGTTTTCGGGTCTAGGGGTTTAGGGTTTAGGGTTTGGGTGCCCAGAACAAAGCCTAGTTGACGGGTAGGGACGGAGGGTCAGGGGGGGCTAGGGGGTGGGGGGGGTAGGGGGGGTGGTAGGGGGGGATTTAGGGCTCAGAGTTGAGGGTTTAGACAAAGGGAATTGTGGGGGGTCACTTGGAAGGGTTTTGCAACCTTACAGCCCTAAACCCTAAATCCCTACACCCTAAACCCATTGTACGAAAGCAACGAATTTCCTGGTCCAATTACCCCGGTGACTGCCTGACCTCGTGAGGGAAGCAGGAAGCGGTTTAGGTTTAGGGTTTGAGCTGCTGATAATGGAAACTCCAACACTGATGGGAAAGTCAATGGAAACTGCTGTAGTGTTTAAGGCTTAGGGTTTAGGTGTACTAAAAACCTGCATGACCTTAATATGCTGTGATACAGGCTAGAAGGTATGTAGAGTCACGCAGGATTTGTTATGTCCACCGTAAAACACTAGGCACCGCAAAGCGGATACACGGATACTCTGGCATCGGGCTATGGATATTCTAGCCCCCAAAGAGATCTTAGGGTTTAGGGTTTAGGTTCCCTAGAAGATCCCTTACCCCCAGAAAGTGCCGGGATTGTCGAATACACAGTGCCGGGGTTCTTGTCCCGTTCAGGGTCTGGGTACTTGGCTTTGGCAGGTGGGAACAACCGCATCTTGCTCAAGAGCGAGGAGAAGGCCGCGCTTGAAGACGATATGAGGTTTCCCAAAAGTAGGGGTACCTTCTTGGGGTTGCCTGTAATAAGGGCTACGGCAATTTGGGCTTAATTTTATTGGGGTCCCCCTATGTAGGGAAACTACCATATGTTTGGTTGAAGGTTGACGACGCCGGAAGCATCATTTTTTGACACTGCGATTGATTTCATGCGGATAACTCCTGATGCGAGCAGCTCCGGAACTTCTCATCAGCTGTTAGATGTTACAGCAAGAGAGGAAGCCGTGCATGAACTGTTTAGCACGCTCTTGCGCCCCGGCTTCTTGCCGAGATCGTGATGTACGACCTGACCGCTCGCAAGACGGTTGATGAAGTTAGCGTCGCGGGAGGTGTGCGGTATGTAGCCGCGGGCTCAGACCCATGCAGCTCCAATCGGGTCATTATCACATCGAGTCGAATTGCAGGATTACTTCAGACGCTTTGTGGATGGCTCATGACCTGTTGCTGAGGTGTGGTCACAGAATGGCGTGTACGTGGCCTTCATGTCGAAACACAATGCGCTGACCTCAAAGTCATCGCCCAGCCTATGTGTGGGACAAAGGTAACACAATGAACTCGGAAAAGGCTGCCGCTACTGCGGAAGCCAAGGATCATGCGATTTGTGCTCGTGGGGCTTTCAGTCAGCTCGCTCCATGAGGTTCTGCTTGCTGGCAAAAATCTGGAGCTGAGACCTCAGCTGGGATGGGCAAGCCAAGCCGAGTACCTTCTGTCTTGAGCAAGTCCCTGCAAAGATGACTTAGTACGACATCTAACCAAAGCCTCTGCCTGTGTTGACTCTAATTGCCTAGGTTTTTCTGGATATAGCATGCAAGGTATTACCACTCCTTCCACGAGAACATCCGCGTGAAGAGTGGGGCATGGGATGAGAACGGGGTGCCAACCCCTCAGCATTCAAATGCAGGGGGTTCCAACAATTCATGTCTTTTCCTGGATTGGTTCTAAGAACAAGGAGTCTAGTATTTTGGGGGGAAATGCATCCCTTTAAACCCTAACCCCTCAAACCTAAACCGTATATAAGCCCACTATAGTAGTTTCCATTTTCTTTTTCCATTATCCCTATATAACCCCAAATGAGGACTCCTGTGAGACTCCCTAGATCTGTCACGTTGAAGTTGCGCTTGGAGCCACAGAGCTGAATGAGTCGCCGGTTCCATGTTTAGACGGCATAGCTTCACCCTAAACCGTAACTCCCCCCTGAACCCTAAACCCAACTCTAAACCGTAAACCCCCCTAAACCCTAAACTTAACGCTAAACCGGAAACTCCCTTGAATCCTGAACCCTAAACCCACTCAGGTTTGTGTACTCCACGCTGAGCCACGTGAAGTACTGCCTTCCCAACGGCTGCCTGTCTGACTTTAGGGGTCGAATTAGCATCTTTGAGTTAAGCCGTCGTGAGCAAGGTGTTGGAGATTGCTATTGTTACAGTTATTACATGTTATTACTATTGTTATTATACTCTACTATTGCTATTTCTATTACTGCTACTACTACTATTATTGCTATTAGTATTAAGATTAGTATTCTTATTCTTCTTCTTATTATTACTGCTTCTATTTTGTTTCACTGATGCGATGCGAGGTGACAGCGGCATCATCCACTCTTTGGCGAACCCCATCTACATCACCAGGGTGCCCCATGAACTTCAGGGTGCAGACAGCTCAGCACGAGATCAAGCACTTATCTCACCATGAGGAGAAGTTCTCCAATGGAGATAATAGGGCTGGTCTCGGAATATCATACAGGCAGAGGGCGACAAGAAGCATTTCGGACGTTGGATTGCAGTGAATCCTCCCCTCACATGCAGGATACAGTAAGGAGAAGTATGCAGAGGCGCTGAGTGTGCTTGAGGTACACAAGCAGATTATGTACTACATTGACCGGGAGCAGAAGGCAAGCAACGCTGCTTCCCGTATTCAGGGGTCCAGATGTTCCTGCAACAAGGTATTGCAGAAAGACTCAGATTTAGCGGCTGTGCAGACATTGCTGGGGCTGGCATTGAGCTTATGTCAAAACAGAATTTGGCAGAACAGTTTGGGCGTCACTTTAAGAAACATCCCTGTAGACCCAGTTTCCAGTTTACTTTCCATCATCTTTTCCATTTGTTTGTGCATTATCAGGGTGATCCTTGTGTAACCCCTACACGCAGTTGGGTTTTTTTGACGGGGTTATATAGCGGTTACCCAGGGATCTCTGCAGCTACTCTGAGGCCATGGACCTTGTATCGTCTTTAGACACCCCTCACGTATACGACTTATATAGGCCTGCGCTTTGGAAAGTCCTCCCGTAGGTGGTTCTCAGCTACCCGTAAACCTGAAACCCTAATCCCAAAACCCTACTCCCTAATCCCTAAGCCCTAATCCCTAAACCCTAATCCCTAAGCCCTAAACCCTAAGCCCCCCCCCTAAACCCTAAACCCTAATCCCTAAACCCTCCTGGCCAGGTCGGAAAGCAGCGACTAAACTGCTCGGAGTACCTCTTCAAGCCGGGGACCCTGTAACGATCAGGGTGTAGGGCTTAGGGTTTAG